AAATTATATCAATCTATGTACTATCGTGGACAGAAAGGTTGAATGCTATTTTTTGTGAGTTTCAAAACATATTAGTTTTGTATCAATGTGACAAAAAATTGTAATTGTAATCATAGCATGATGTAAACTCACTGGAAAATAAATTTCCCCATTTAACAAGATAGATGTTTTTTGAAATTTGAATAAATAACAGCGGACAATTTTTCTGTCTACGTTTATACGTCAGATCTATTTTTTAATTTTGAATGAAAATATTTACTCGACGAGTATGCTATAGAGGGGACGATTCATTCTGAATGAATGAAATCTTGGACGAATTGAAGTGATTTAGCTGTCATTTTACTTTTCAAGTAGAATTCTACCCCAAAATATTTAAAGCGGAAAATTCGACTGCAATTCAGGTGCCAGCTATTTTCGCGACTGTTTTTTGGTCACTTGAATCACTATAATAGAGCCACAATTGAAGATTTTGTGAAAGTTTGTTAAAGGTCAAGCAACCAAGGAATGAGATAGTGACATTGATCTTCACGGAGCCCGGTTCTCGAGCGCGTATCCCATGCGCGTATCGGGCACCATGTCGCTGCATCTCTTGTTTCACGCCTCGAAGCGAAGACGTTTAGGCTCAACCTAGAGTTGACGTAGGTCGTGTACAGTTACGTCCGCCGGAGATATCGCCGCGGCGTAGGCGTTTCGCGGCCTGTCGCGTTGAAAATCGATGAAATCACGCGATAAGATCGATAGAAAGAGGCCCGTCCTGTAGCAGGAAGCGAGACCGCCGTCGCATAATTTAATAATATTGTGGATCCCCTGCACCGCACTGATTTACGGCTTCTCTTGTCGCGTCAAGAGGTGCATCGGGAAATACCAAGAGAGCGCGCGCGAGATAGAGATGGAAGGAGGAAAAGAGACAGAGAGACAAAGAAAGAAAGAGAGGAGGAGGGAGGGAGGGAGGGAGGGAGGGAGAGAGAGAGAGAAACACGATCGTGCATACTCGGTTGCACCACCGTTTTATCGCATCGGCTACATAATGTGCACCGCATCTTATCTCGTTCTATGTTTCATGTACGAAAATAGTTATTACTCTGACTGAGACAGTATCGCTCCCCTCTCTTCCCTCTTTCTCTCTTCTCTCTCTCTCTCTCTCTCTCTCTCTCTCTCTCTCTCTCTCTCTCTCTCTCTCTCTCTCTCTCTCTCTCTCTCTCTCTCTCCCTCCCTCCCTCCCTCCCTCCCTCCCTCCCTCCCTCCCTCCCTCCCTCCCTCCCTCCCTCCCTCCTCCCTCCCTCCCTCCCTCCCTCCCTCCCTCTCTCTCTCTCTCTCTCTCTCTCTCTCTCTCTCTCTCTCTCTCTCTTTCTCTTTCTTTCTCATAAAGAAAAGAGTATGAAAATTATCGTATTGATTGTCGATTTACAAGAGCAAGCACATGTGTACGCACGAAATGTGCGACTTCTGTTCTTTCTGAGTGTACGCGCAATTTCAGGCATAAAGGCGCGCGATGAAAACGGATGTGCCCGTTTCACCGATCGTCGTGACGACGTATTTGAATAATCCCGCATGTCACTACCTAGGTGGCAATCATATAATTTTTTCTTAGGAATGGAAATGTGAAGAGTATCATATTTATGTTACTAGAAAATTTATATGTACACTGAAATTGAATCTATATAAAACTTCTTATCTTTTACGTTTCTGTTCTTAGGAAAAATTTGAATCATTGTTATCGGAAATGTGAAAAGTTTCACTTTTGTGTTACTCGAAATTTTACATGATTACTAAAGTTGCCAAGTTCATATAAAACTTTCCATTTCTCATGTTTTCTCTCTTAGAAAAGTTACTCTGAGTGTTATTCCGTAGCCAACTTTGCGTAGAAAATGTTCTAGGGTTCCTCTAATTGGGATCCATACTGATTTTTCGAAAAAGTGATGGGTTCAAATTGGGAAATTTACAAAAATTTAGATTATAAATATTTGATTATAAAATTGGAATATAAATATAATATTTCTACAATGTAACTTAAAATAAGAAAATATTACTTTATTTTAATATATTCGTTGTTGTTAATGTTGAACAAAGTACCTGAAATGTTTTGAATATATTTTTATAAATATAAAATTTAAGAAGCATAAATATTTAAGTTGTTTCAAGTTTCTTTTATTCAACTTCTTTTTAAAATGTATTATAAATGTCTTAAGTAAAATAATATATATTATATTTCCACTTTAAAATAAAACTTCAATATAAAATAAAATAAAAATACTCCATATTTTTCTAGTTATTATTTACATTAGAAATTCATTTTTTGTTGTTTTATTGTATTAAAGAAGTAGTTATTAGTAAAATAGTTCTTGTTTGATATTATAACAATATACCGGCATTATCGATCGAAGAATAAAGACGAGTTTCTGTTTCGATTCTTGACAGAGAACTAATGTTTGGGGTAAAAATGAAATTCGGCTATTAGTATTGTAATCGGATAAGCAAACAGGACAAGTTTGAGAATTCTAATCAAGATCTATATTGTATCAGGGAAAACAACTATGATGATATGCCGGCAGGCAAGTATTTTAAATCTATATTTTTCGTGCTCTATCGTGCTCTATCTTATCAATTAATATCATTTTTACTATTGTCTCCGGTCTATCTTGAATCCACATAAAGAAGATTGCCTTCGCCTTGAACTTGTTTTCATAGCGAAATGTCGCGTTAATCAGTCGACAATTATATAATACACGTAGTCATAATATTTATTTTCGTGTCTTATTTATTTTGATCTTGGCGTTGGCGGTGAAGTTGGTGTGATGCGACGTTCTGAAACGTTTGAGAGAACACTGTGATACTAAGTCAGATAAAACATTTAATTAGAAACGTATCTAGAAAATGTTTAAGTAAATTTACATAATATTAAATAGTTGAATAATAAAAAATTACAATACGAAAGATTAGAATAACAATATTTAATGGTTACAAACATAATCAAAGTTCGTACTAAGTTTTACTTGAAATTATATTTCATATTTATCAATTATATTAATATAGTTTTACTTGTAGTATTTTATAAAATAGATATAAATTAAATTAAAGTTAAAAACTTAAAATTAAAGATATAAATGTAAAAATTTAAAAAAGATTAGAAACAAAATTTTTGTCATTTTATCCAAATTTGGTTGCATTAATATATCAGAATTTTTTATCAGTATAATCTTGAATAAATTTTATTACATATATATTTAGTCTTTACTATATATATTTTCGTGCACATATATAGTTAAAATAATACTTTTCTTCAACATTCCTCAAAGTTTTATATTTGTTCTGATTCATCTATAGTAATTATCATAAATTATACGTAATAAAATCGAAGAAATTTATTTCTAAATTTTTACTTCTAAGTTGCTTAATTTTTATGATATAAAATACATTTTTCAATTATTAATATTTCGTTCGTTTTGGTGAAAACTACATTATCTACAGATTTTCCTATTTTAAATTAAGGATTTAAATATACAGGATTTCCTATTTTAAACATTTTAAAACTACACTTTTTAATTTAACTTATAAGTTTTATAAATAGCGTGATGAAAACATATCGATAAAATAAAATAAAATTTATCAGTTAAATAAGGAAATGTAAGAAAATCTGAGTAAAGATATTATTTTATAAAATTCTCATTTCTTCTTATTAAGTATTTCAGATATCATTGGATGGTGTTAACTGATTAATAATTAACCAATAATAATTGGCAACCAAAAATTATTCATCTTTTGAAACCACTTCTATATGGCTTTTCAATATTTTCAATGTAAAAGTTAAATATTCTAGAGTATTTTTCAATTTCTTAGTGGCATAATGAAAACATCGAATGATTAAAATAAAATTAACAGTGAGATAAGAGAAAACATGAAAGATATACAATGTAAAAATATAAAATTTATAAAATTTTTATTAATAATCTTCCTAATAATTTTTAGTTACTAATAGTTATTCATCTGTAGATACGATGTAATGATGCCTGAAATATTTAACAAGAAATAATGAACGTTATATCTCTTTATATCACAGATTTTATAATGTTATTTTACCTCATTAATAAATGCTATTTTATTGTATTTTCATCATGTCATTATAGAACATACAAAATGCATTGGAATGTTTAATATTTACAATAGCACTTCAAATGTATAAATGTTATTCATATAAATTATTTATAAGAGATTTCTATAGGACGTTTCTAATTAGTCGATTCTTTTCGGTTCTTTCAACTGAATACAATTTTAATATAGCTGAATGTATTTAGATAAATTTTTTTCGATCGCGGTAATTGAGCTATCATTTCTCATCATTGAATTCTTGTTTGGATCTTATCCAGTTACATGAAAACTGAGATTCTTTTTCCCATGTACATATATACATCATACTGAAAACCTTGTAGGATAACCATTAATGATTATTAGAATAATTCTCTTACATCAGTCTGTACTTGTCTCTGTATTAGATGTGTCCTTAACATTGAAAATAAATTATACGTTTACATTACAATAATAAATAAATAATTGTTAAGATGTTACTTAATGTTTGTCTTGTTGAACTAATTATACGACGACTATTGTATCTAGCGATAGATATGAGTATATTGTACTTTGAACCTTGAATCCTGAATCCTGAATATGTCGCTAGACACACAATTGCCGTCATATAATTATAAATTAGGTCATTCTGAACAAAAAAGTCCTTTACCATTTTGCAAATAAGTACTCAAATTTTCAAGTTATTTATAAAAAGAGCTTCTAGATGTGGTCATTTTTAATCATTAATAATTGAATAACTATCGCGATTTTTGCAAAATGGTATATGACTTTTCTTCTCAGTTTGATCCGATTAATTTTCACAATTTTTTGTTTCCAAAAATTTTCGGACACCCTGTACAAATTACGCACATATATATATAAATTACGTTAATTACATTAATTTGTATATATATGTATATATATATAAATCACGTTTCGATAACAATAATAAATAAATCTCGACGCATACATGATACTTCTGATGTTTATCATTACGTCGTGATTTGATCTGCACGATTTATGTAATCGGTATACGCAACTCTTCTGCCGCCGTGACGAAAAAAAGCTCTCTTTCTGGCGCCGATTCAATGGCAAGGTGGAAAGGACACAGGCAGATGCCTTTCCCGTGCTCGGACATGCGAAAAGTTTTTTTCGAATATACGAAAACGTCTCCGATCAACCTCCGCTTCTATTTTCATGTCTGACTTTTCTTAGCAAAAATTCGTTTGCGCGCGCACGCATGGACGCGATTGTACATTACCGGTCGCCTCTCGATTCTCACAATGTTACACGGTGGACCCAGGCAAGATCCGTTGATCCTCGCAACGTGAAGTGTGCTCACTTATCAGTCGCTTTACAAGCGGTTGCTATGCGATATGGAAGGGGTGTCCGGAGTCACCTACTAGCTCCGACCAGTCAGAAGTCAGTGTGCGTAAGCCGGCCGGTCGTGCTGGCTCTCCTTTCCTGTTGCCGTTGCTCTCTCGCGCGCACTCTCGCGCATGCACCCGTCGAAGAGCTGCTCCACAGCAACGTAGCCTCGAAAAAGAGAGTCTGTCTTCTGGAAGCGGTCGCACTGGGACGAATATCGCGCCGGTCGATTTGTCGATCTTGAAAGATCACGAGATCACGGGAGTTCGCGCGCTTGTTTTTGACGCTTCGGCGCTTTTAAGGCGCGTTGCCTGCGGGAATTCGAGAATCGCCCCTCGGGCGAGGTTGTGAATCTATCTTTAAGATTCGGGTACTGTTAAAGTCTCTTGGAGAAGAGAATGCCAAACAAGTCTCTCGGAGGAATTTTTCCGCTGTGAAGCTGCTGAGTTTTCTGGCCATTGGCGGAATTATCTCGCATGAAATGCCAGGATTGAGTTCTTCGAACCTCCCTCGCAAGTCAGCCGACTCTAACAGGATCTTCATCAGGAATCTTCGGCCGGGACTTATGCGGCAGGAGAAACGTGCGTTTTGAATTCCGTGTTGCCGGCGCGTCTCGCCGGTGATCGACCGTTCGCACAGAAGGTCCGGAAGGAGACAAACACTGAGCAGCGAAAAGAGTTCACGTTTTTACGGGTTCCCTTAGAAAGAGCAAATCAAGGAAGAGGACGATTTCGCCTCATCACGTTGTCATCACCTTGAGATCTCGCGGGGATCGATGATGTCGGGACCATAATATCGCCAGGTCATCATACAAGACGGACGAGACTTTTATGCCTTTCTGTCTTTGACGCGGAAGCACACGAAGTGAATGAATTTTCGATCACTTTGGTTGGCGACTTTTTCCTTACGTTCGAAGAAAGTTACATTTGCTGGAGTGGATTCCTTATCGTTTCATCAATCGAGCAGGTTTTATCAGTTGACCGTTAACACACACTCGACATTCTTCAATATACGAAGAAGAATCATCTCGGTAGATCGTGCGAGATTTCATAATCGTTGGTAAAATACACAGTGCTCGTCGATGTAAGTCTTTAAATCGGCGTAAAGAAATCGCTGGATCGTAAGGAACGATATTCTCCTTCACGCATGTGGATTCTCTCGGCTTTGCGCATTGCGAAAATGAATTGATCGTTTATACTGACAGCGTCTGTGCAGTACGGAGAGGTTTTTGACGAAAGCCTGTCGACAAGTGACGTTCGACTCCGTCTCGCGCGGAAAAGTTACCATGACGCAGGAGGAGGAAGACACTACGACGTTCAAGCCAAAGACTTCGACGGAGCAGATGAGTTCGATGGTAAATAACGCCGTACTCTCTTTCTCTCTCTCTCTCTCTCTCTCTCTCTCTCTCTCTCTCTCTCTCTTTCTCTCTCTCTCTCTCTCTGTCTCTCTCTTTCTTTCTTGCTCCTTCCTCTCTCTTTCTCTCTCTCTCTCTCTCTCTCGATGATTTGCGCAATCTCGCGTACCAAGCGTGTCCTGAGCGATGTCAGAATGACGTTAGAACGACGTTAGACTATTCGTATATAACAACAGCGTGAGATCGTGCAATATTGAAATCTTCATTCGACATAGACGTACGGTTGATAGTGTTCGCCGATACACTTGATAAATTAGCGATACGCGCGTTCGTATTGAAATCGCGTGCGATAAAGGTATGCGGATTTCTGCTGGCCGGCTGCGAAATATTTGTGCACTCCGCCACGTTGCATTCGACACGTCTCACGCATCTCGAGCTCACTATTTTCACCGTGTGAGTTTCGCGTCTCGTCGGTTTTTTGAGAGTGATGAAAGACGCTCCGCTAGGTTATTCCACTTGGGGCGATATACGTGGCATGAATGGATTAACATTCCACGGTAATACGAAGGTCGGTCCGATAGCGGAGTCCGCTTGAACGCCTTGACACCAAAAACCGAAATGGCTCACGTCACGAGTAGACAGATGCATTTGGCGGCGATGCGGATCCACATTGTGTAATCGGCTGTGCATCGTCGCCGATGGGCATCCGATAAAGGGGGTCGTTACGGTATGCAGATTCGAATCGTCGTAATCTATAATTTGGTGACCTCCGTAGTCGACCGCCGACTGTCGATACGGATCGAATCCTGTATTTGTTTTGATAAGAGCCGTCTGGTCTACTGTGGCTGATGTTTGCATCGCAAACTGGCTCACGTGCGATTTCGACGACCGCGAGGTTTCTCGAGAGCCACTTGATAGAGGCGAATGATTGGTACGAATTTCTGTCCTCCAACGCTGAACACAATCCAACTCCAATGTGATGGTCTTACGGCGGAGAGAACGAATTATCGTTTCGCATTTTTCTTTGTTTTTGTTTCATTTCAGAATGATTGCATGTAAATGAATATTAACGTTCTCTCCATGTGATTAACATCTGACTATTGTTTAATCTAATTGATATTTTGGATATCACATTACTTACGAATATATTATGGTAATGATTCGGCCGATTCTACATAATGTGTACAGAGTGTTTATAAGTATTATCCGATATTTCAGGAGTTCATTTTTGAGATCCCTTTTGAAGAAAAATTCATGCAAATATATGATCTGAAGGGTCGTGTTTATGAAATATAGAGTGTCAACAATTTTATAAAATGATCGTTTTTTCTTACTAAGGTTTAAATGTACTCCAACGGGATGTAGATAATATCTCGAACTTGTACGCTAATGGATGGAGTCAACAGATTTTTATTATTTTAACTTAGAAAACTTAGAAAAAAGTACTCTTGTCAGATATCAATGAAGCTACTATGAGATCTATCTTACTATGAAATACTATCTTATGAGATAATTCGCGTTTTGATATTTTAAAGTCCCTATATCATAGACTATTTACAAAACAACAGATTGTAAATAAAAATGGGGACAGTGTCTGTTTATCGTGCTTATTTATTGGCTCGTTAAAAAAGTCGCTTTCCATTTGGAAGTTATTAAGAAAAAAAATCACTAATTTTATATAATTTTGAACACCTTGCATCTCTGAAGATTTTAGATACTATAACCGAGAATATTTAGATGAACTTTTCTTTATAAAATAACTTCAAAAATTATTTTCTAAAATATTGACAATTGAAGAAAAGAGTAGCATGGCCTCAGCGAAAATCTTTTTGGAATTTTCTTGGCATTCACCGTGTTAACGTTTAATATAATGTCTAGCGTTTTGAGATGATTATTATCATTATTCTGTTCGATGTAACTATGAGCCCGATCTCATCATGCTATGCATCAGCAGAACTGATTATTTCCCTCGGCGCTCGATTCGCGAAGTATTTTCATTAGCATCGTTTCCGTGTGCAATGCCCTATTAGTCGCAAATGCGGTCTCGGTGATAACTGTATAGAGAACAAAGACTGGTGAGCAAATCCGCGGGCGGTAATTTTTTTTGAAAATATAATAGCCAATACTGTTGTTAATAAAATTTTCCATATACAATTTCATTAGGGCAGTCTTTGACATGCTCGTCGATGAATGAACGAATTCTTTTTCTTTTTAAGAGCAAACACTTGTTACAAAGATAGACTGTGAATTTATTGTCCAGCAGATGCAACGAGTAGCGATAATTTCCTTTCCCTTCTTTTTTCCGGCTCGGAAGATATTATTAAGGTCTGAGTAATGTTGCAAGCAAGAGATGTCGCGTGCATACGCGCACCCCTTCGATCTTCGTCGCACATTTTTTCCCTTTTTCTCTTGAATATCGTGTACATTTATCTTCCTTTAACGTAAAAGAGCTCTCATGATGAAATGTCTTATCCGAGATTATAAAATATAATTTGTCGAGAGAGGGGAAGTGTGTATCCGAGAATTACACAAGAATGCAACATAATTAAATGTCCCTGATAAATCAAATGTATGCTTTTGCTAATTTTTATTTCGAAGATGAGCGAGAGTGAAATACGATTTTCAGGATAATTCAGGATGTGTATACTCCTCCTGACGATTATTATGGTAAAAATCTCGCTACGCGAACATTAATGTGATAAACTTGTGTATTATTTGACTTTTTCAACCAAGGATCGCTGATATTACTAATGATCACTTTATTTTTGGGCGAAATGTGACTTCATGGTGTCAATCGCCTTATTATCACAACCAATATCATTAAATTTACGCAGATTTATTATAATACATCTGAATGATTTTTAGATATTAAATATTTGCACAGTAGCGGCAATCTGACAAATACAAAAATTTAATAAACATAATATATAAATATAAAATAATAATTATATATATATATATATAACTGTTTCATATTTATATATTATGTTATATATATATACAGGGTGTTCCAAAAGTAACGGACCACCCTAATAACTCTTCAGTATTGAAGTTTCAAGGAAAATGATCTGAATAAAAGTAGCAGAAATTTAAGTGAGTTACCTTATAATGATCTTGACCTTGACCTCTATTTTCAAGGTTATTTGAAGGTCAACTTGCATTTTTTAAATGGGAATCCTTATTTTTTATTACACTGTTTTTTTCTACTAGTTAATTTGAACAACTTTTGTCTAAAATATTTTTCTATTTGTCTAATATTTTTTGAGATATTTGAGGAAAATTTGACAACTTTTTCAATATTTAACTTATGATATCTCGCTAATTATTTGTCGGAAGAAAAAATGGTACTAGACTTTCTTGCTTTATTTAGTCTCAAGAATATATGGTTACAATAGCACCCTGCCTTTTGTTAACTTACTGACTTTTGGAAATTTCAAAATCATCAAATTAACAAAAATCAGAGCGCTATTATAACAATACAGGGTATACCAAAAGTCTGGAAATGGTCGAATATTTCATAAATATATTTATGAATTATAAATATATATAATTATTATATATATTTATAATATACAGAGTGGTTGATTATAAGTTGCCAACTCGAAATGTGAAGGTAGATTGGGTTAAGATAAACATAAAAGTCCCATACCGTTTTGCGAGATTCGCAATAATTATCGAGTTATTAATTACAGAAATCTGAGGAATGGGAGCGCGCCGACATAGATAATTGGAGAAGCGTTGCAGCTGCTTAGGCTGCAGCGCGGCCCAGTTGATCCTGCAACTGATGCCGGTGCGCGGCGAGGGGAAAGACAATGCGCTGCTATTCGTTGTTTTATCTTGCCGGACCTACGTCTCGCCGCACGCCGCCAACAGTTGCTAGGTCAAGTGGGCCGCGCTGTGGCCTGAGTAGCTGCAACGCTTATCCAATCATCTATGTCGGCGCGCTCCCATTCCTCAGATTTCTGTAATTAATAACTCGATAATTATTGCGAATCTCGCAAAACGGTATGGGACTTTTATGTTTATCTTAACCCAATCTACCTTCACATTTCGGATTGGCATCTTATAATCAACCACCCTGTATATACATATATTTTTTATATATTATATATATATTATATTATTTATATTATATATTATACAGGGTGTCCGGAATGTGATCATTAATATTTTGTGTACTGGTAGATTGAGTGTAGCCGAGAGGAAAAGTCATGTACCGTAATGTCAAATTGGCAATAGTTATCGAGTTATTAATTGAAACATGTGAGCCAATGAGCGCGTAGAGAACGCTGGGCGACCGCCTCTTGTCGCTTGCGCTCGCTCGCTCGCTCCTCGTCGCGCGCGCACGTCTCTTGTCGCTTACGGTTGTCTCTGGCCGCGCGAGGTAAGCCATCTTTTTATGCACAGAGCCCGTCCTGTCACTTTCTCGTGCGCTCATTCGTTTACACATTTTAATTAATTACAGAATAAATATTGAAAAAATTGTAAAATGGCACAGGACTTTCTTAATTGTTTTAACGAGTTCTACCAGTACACAAAATATTAATGATCACATTCCGGACACCCTGTATATTTATATTTATATTATATTATATTTATATTATATTTATATTTATATTATATTTATATTTATATTATATTTATATTTATATTTATATTTATATATTTATATATATAATAATATATAATTATTATATATATTTATTTTTATAAATATATTTCATAAATATTTCATAATTTCATAAATGTATGTGTGCGTGTAGGGGTGAGTAGCTTAGTTGGGTCAGTATTCAAATTGTCCTCTGTCTGCTGCTTTATAATATCCTAGCCGTAGATAAAAATTATTTAAAACATTTCGTCTTATCTCTGCCGAGATAAGATCGACTTGGTGTATTACATGTTCCCTAAGGTCCGTAAGGTTGGCAGGTTTTGTTTCGTATACATTGTTTTTAAGATATCATCAAAAAATAATCGACAGTAGAAAGATCTGGTGATCTAGTAAGCCACTCTATTTGACCACGTCTTCCTTTCCATCGATTTGGAAAAGTATTATCCAAAAATTGCCGTACTGCTACTGCATATTAGTGTGGGCCAGCACCATCTTGTTGGAACCAAATATTTTCTATGTTCCCATCAAATATATTTTCAAGAGCGGGTATGACTTCATTTTGCAATAGCTCCTGATAGATCGCCGCGTTCAAATTCCCATTAATGAAGAATGGTCTGACAATACCACGTTCGCAAAAATCCGCCCAAACGTTAAGTTTTTGGGGATACTGCGTTCGGATATCACGCATCCAGTGAGGATTTTCATCACTCCAATATCGACAATTATGCCGATTTACCGCTCCATTCAATTTAAAAGAATCTTCGTCGGAAAAAATTATGTGATCGAAAAAGTTATTATTATCACCATATCGACACATCATATCGTCGTAGAATTCATTTCTTCGATCAAAATCATTTTCCGATAGCTCCTGAGTGATTTTAATTTTGAAAGGATGCCATTTCTTTTTCACTAAAATACGATGAATGGAAATTGTACTAATCTTATGCATCTGTGCTGCCTTCCTCAAAGTAGAATGAGGATTTTCGACTAATATTTGCATCACTTCGAAACTCTTATCCAAGTTTGTCGCTAATTTTGGTCTGCCAGTGCGTTGTCCTTGACGGATCCTGTTTCATCAAATCGTCTGACCGTTTTCTGGACTGTAAACTTCGAAATCGGTTCACGATTTGGATAAGTATTGTTAAATAAAGCAACTACTTGTTCACAGGATCTAACGCGGTCATCACATCCTCGCATCATCAGTAAAGTAATTCTTTCTCTTTCAGACAATACCATTCTGAATGCCACTCAGTTCTGAAATTTCACTCAGTTGCTTGATAATGTGTCGTAATACGAAGAGCTGAATGTATCCAGGATAGAAAAACGTTCGACTACAGGTAAAATCAGAACGATTAATGTAACAAGACTTTTATTGGGAAAGAACTATGAAAAGTATAATAATTTCGATATTTGAATTTTCCCCTAGTCTACGGTTTGCATTCTTTGAATCTTCTGTCGATTCTTTTCAGAAAGAATTACTGCGAATGGTGCAAGGATATGGTGACCACGTTAGATCTTTTGAACAAGTAGCGGCTTATCTCTGCTGTGACACACACACACACACATACACAAGAGGTGTCTGATCGTGCAACTTCCACGCGGTACACCTTGGTTAATGCCGCCGGTATTGTAACTTTCAAGCCCCATAACTCGAAAAATATTCATTAAAATATAACTTATTTATGGTATTCTGTAAAGTTCTCAAGATGAGCTACAAGAATATATAATGAAAAATAAGGGGTTCCATTTAAAAAAACAAAATTGAACTCAGTATGACCTTGGAACGTTCATTCAAGGTCAATCCAATGACACTATCTTATGTCCTTCCTCGAACCAAATAACTTTCGTCTGAAACATTTCTTTCTGAAATGCATAGTTTATGAAATATTCGACCTTTTCCAGACTTCTGATACACCCTGTATCTTCTTGAGACTAAATAAAGCAAGAAAGTCTAGTACCACTTTTTCTTCCGACAAATAGTTAGCAAGATATCGTAAGTTAAATATTGAAAAAGTTATCAAGTTTCCCTCAAATATCTAAAAAAATATTAGGCAAATAAAAAATGTTATAGATAAAAGTTGTTCAAATTAACTAGTAGAAAAAACAGTGTAATAAAAAATAAGAGTTCCCATTTAAAAAACGCAAGTTGACCTTCAAATAACCTTGAAAATAGAGGTCAAGGTCAAAGTCAAGGTCATCATAAAGTACCTCACTTAAATCCCTACAATTTTTATTTAGATCATTTTCCTTGAAACTTCAATACTGAAGAGTTATTAGGATGGTCTGTTACTTTTGGGACACTCTTATATATATATATATATACAGGGTGTCCCATTTTAATGTGCCACCCCAAATAACTCTTCAGAAGTTTTAAGGAAAATGATCTTAATAAATGTAGGGATTTAAGTAAGCTACCTTATGATGACCTTGACTTTGACCTTGACCTCTATTTCCAAGGTCATTTGAAGGTGAACTTGCGTTTTTTGAACAGGTACCCTTATTTTTTATTACACTGTTTTTTTCTACTAGTTAATTTGGACAACTTTTATTTAAAACATTTTTTTATTTGTCTAATATTTTTTTAGATATTTGAGATATTTGAGGAAAACTTGATAACTTTTTTAATATTTAACTTACGATATCTCTCTAACTATTTGTCGGAAGAAAAAGTGGTACTAGACTTTCTTGCTTTATTTAGTCTCAAGAATATATTGTTACAGTAGCGCCCTGACTTTTTATTGACTTACTGACTTTTAGAAATTTCAAAATCATCAAATTAATAAAAGTCAGGGCGCTATTAAAACAATATTCTGAAGACCAAATGGAGCAAGAAAGTCTAGTAGTCATTTTTTCTTCCGACAAATAGTTAGCGAGATATCGTAAGTTAATTGAAAAAGTTATTGAAAAAGTTATCAAATTTTTTTTAAATATATCAAATAATATTAGGCAAATGGAAAAATGTTTCAGACAAAAGCTGTTCAAATTAATTAGTAGAAATAGACGATATGATAAAAAATTGGGTTTTCCATTTAATATAAGTAATGATCAGTGAATATTTTGAAAGTGGTGTCATTTGTAAACAAAATGATGTAGTTGTTTTATATCCCTCTTGTAATCATACAGCTTTCGTCCGAAACAGTTTTTTTCTAAAATGCTTGGTTTTCGAGATATTTTGCTGTTCCGGTACTTTTTTGTCATCCTGTACGTGTATATAGACATGTATAAAAATTTTTATTTATTTATGTACTTATTTTATATATATAGGGTGCTTCAGAAATAATTGACCAAACTTTAAGAGCATATTCTACTCATTGTAAGGATGAAAAAAAGTTATATAAACAGGGATTCTGAAACGCTTCCTTTCTAAGTTATAAACATCTCTTATTTATTTTATTTACAGACTTTAACAACATTTAAACTGCAAGAACATTTCATTATATAAATTGTTGGAAATGATTTCTTTCTGCACTGATTCGTACCTCGCATCGACGTCGCATGGATTGTCGAAGACGTTTAAAAATTCCTGGAGTATTTCGTATTTTGTTACACGAAGTGATAATACGATTTCAGAGTACTTCCACAGTAGCAACAGGAGTATCATAAACGAGAGTCTTAAGATGTCCCCATAAATAAAAATCCAAAGGGTTTAAACCCGGAGAACGTGCAGGCCAAGCGGTGGATCTTCCTTTATCAATCCATGTATCTATCGATGTAATTATTATTCAGAAACTCTCGAACAATACGGCTGAAATGTACTGGAGCTCCATTATGCATGAACCACATTTGATTGAGTATCTGTAGCGGAACGTCTTCTAATAATACAAGGAGTTGCGTTTCCAAAAATTGTCTGTAATTGTTACTATTAAATTTAAGTGGGAGAAAAATCGGTCCAAGATGTGAGGCATGTATGTCCGACGTAAATATGTACTATGTATATAATACTATGTAAATAAGAAATGTTTATAACTTGGAAAGGAACCGTTTCCGAACTCATATTTATATGACTTTTTGCATCCTTACAATGAGTGGAATATGTTTTTAAAGTTTGGTCCACTATTTCTGAAGCACTCTGTATATTTTTTAAATATAAAGTTTCCGAATTTATACTTGAAATATAAATATAACAGTAATTTTATGTATTTTGATATATGTATATTAATAATATAAATAATATATAGCTAGGTTGTATATATAAGGGTGTCTCATTTTAAAGGATTCACTCAAATATCTCAGAAACACTGCGTTAAATCGAAAAATGTTTCAGACAAAAGTTGTTTGGCTTGAAGGGGGACATAAGACAACGATAGCATTTTGCTTATAGATGGCGCCACTTTCGAAATATTCACTGATCATCAATCTTCTTAAATGGAAATCCAAATTTTTTATTATATCACCTTTTTTACCAATTAATTTAAAAAAACTTTTGTCTGAAACATTTTTTATGTGCTTAATATTTTTTGAGATACTTAAGGAAAACTTGGTAACTTTTTCAACATTTATCTTACGATATCTCGCTAACTATTCGTCGAAAGAAAAAATAATATTAGACTTTTTTACTTTATTTACTATCAAGAATATATTACTATAATAGTTCCCTAATTTTTGTTAATTTAATAATATTGAGATTTCCAAAAATCGATAAGTTAACAAAAATTAGGACACTATTATATAGTAATATATTTTTGATAGTAAATAAAATAAAAAAGTCTGATACTATTTTTTCTTTCGACGAATAGTTAGCGAGATATCGTAAGTTAAATGTTGAAAAAGTTACCAAGTTTTCCTTAAATATCTCAAAAAATATTAGGCAAATAAAAAAATGTTTCAGACAAAAGTTGTTCAAATTAATTGGTGGAAACAGATGATATAATAAAAAGTTTGAATTTCCATTTAAGAAAATTGTTGATCAGTGAATATCTCGAAAGTGGCGCCATCTATAAGCGAAATACTATCGCTGTCTTATGTCCCCCTTCAAGCCAAACAACTTTTGTCTGAAACATTTTTCGATTTAACGCAGTGTTTCTGAGATATTTGAGTGGGTCCTTTAAAGTGGGATACTGTGTGTGCGTGTGTGCGTGTGTGTGCGTGTGTGCGTGTGTGCGCGTGTGTGCGTGTGTGTGTGCGTGTGCGTGTGTGTGTGTGTGTGTGTGTGTGTGTGTGTGTTTTTGGTGTGTATATAATATCTGTTATATTTATATTTGAAATAAGTAAATACTCATAAATATATTTATATATTTATATTTATATAATTACTTATATACTTTAAAAAATTGTTTATATATTATATTATTTCTCTATATTTAACTACATACATATATATATATATTTCTACAATTATTATTGTATATATATATTGAATATATATATAATGATTATATATATATATATATATATATATTGAATATATATATTTTGAAAATTGTATCTTTTCGTTCAGAAATATCGAAGTAGAAAGGTAGTTATCAAGGTTAATCACGTGCATTCTCTTATCTCATACGCGAAAAATTTACTCACTCTGGTCTCTCAAGATTATAAAGTACGATAGATTTCTTTCTGTCTTGGACAGAAGATTAAACTGTGACATTTTATCAAAAATACGTTGGCAAGTTCAAGGCTACCATTTCACGGTCTACTAAACATGAGTGGCTGGGGGTTTATCAATTTTTACAGCCGTTATAAATACACCATGTCGTGCCTAATCGTCCCATCGCTGATTATGAGCGAGTTGCGTGCTCATGCATATACTCAATTATAACATCCACCGTGGCAATAGGTGTCATAGAGAAGAGAACGAATTAATATCATCGTAGCAATTATGTGTCTATTTGTAAATAACGGTGACATGTAGAAAAATCTTTATACTTGTTTGAACTGGACTCGATAATCGGTACTTTCAATAACGGCGACTTACTGATATGTGCTAGCCTCTTTCGGTTGTTGACGAGAAATAATTCGGGAGAAATTAAGATATATAAAATTTTTTGGATTTTTCCATACGTAACATTAATTTTGATTAAAATCTCCAAAAACTGCAGTCGAGTTTAACTTAATTTTGCGGCATTCCAAATTTTAAATTATTTTTTAATCACAGTAAAGTTATTGATAGCTTAAAGATATACAAGATATTTCAGAAATAGGTAGCTAAATTTTAAAAGCATTTTATTCACTGTAAGGATGAAGAAGACATATAAACATAGATTCAGAAACTTTTCTTTTTCAAATTATAAACATTTTTTATTTACAACAGAATTTAGTAAGAACATAGAATATACTGCCTTCTTGATATAAGCTGCTTTAACTTAAATGTTTAAAACAAATTGATTCCAATTCAAAATAGACCTATTTAACTAACTTATTTATTCCTAATAGAAGGTAAGTAAAAGATAATGCATGACACGTCGATACAAAATATGTTATCTGTTGTAAATACAAAGTATTTACAACAAATAACAGCAAAGGAAGTGTTTCCGAACCATGTTTGTACAGTTTTTTTCCATCCTTACGTTGAATAGAACAGAGCTCGGCACATCATCTGCACATTTCGTCCGATTTTCAGTTCGCTCCGCCTACTGCTATTCCTCTTGCGTCTTCTCCTGCATGCGATCCACGATTCGCGCAAAGCTCAATAACGTTCGACGCGTGAATTTGTCTCTAGTATTAGGTGTACAACTTTGTTTCTGCCGTTTTTTTCCGAAATTCGAGGCTTTATTGTAAAAAACTGGTTATACATTTATGATTCAAAGTATTGTCCATCGCTGGCTACTACTTTCACCTATCTTTTGGACAGTGTACGAATCCCGCGTTGAAAAAACTGGTCATCTTTTGAAGCGATCCACGAATCGATCCAATTTCTTACTTCTTCATAAGACCGGAAGTGCTGGTCAACCAGGCCGTGTGCCATTGATCGAAATAAGTGATAGTCAGAGGAAGCAACGTC